TGAATACTTAATGTGGGGATCAAATCCACAAACCCATTCCCTCTTTTTATACTATTTGATTCAGCCACGTTTCAGATGGACTGATTAGATTGGATCAGTGTGGAGAAATCATTCGGCTCATATCATCTACGTGGTAAATCGCTTCCTGTCGTGCCAAAATCAATGCCGGAGCGCGAACCTTCTTCCACCACAGTTCTGTTTGCCAAGTGCTTAACCGGGGGCTCGGGTCTTATCTCAACCCCAAACCCCATTTCCTGTCTCACATGTGCGTTGTGATGTTGATGAGGCCCCATTATAGTGCAGGCAGGGGGTCCTCACGTACTCTGCAGGCCTGAGGGCCACTGAATGGGATTAAGCACAGGATGACAAGGGGAAGAGTAGGTAGCCAGAAACTTTGTGTGCGTGTGCGCACGTGCGCATGTTTAGGCCTGCACCTTGGCTTCAACCCTCCTTTACTGATTTACAGTGCTGCTGACGCCCCCGGTGATGCTACTGTTTAAGTGGTGGCAGCTGTGCATTCTTTGTTTTTGTTTTCCCTCTTATCTCCTGACTTCAGAACTAAAACTGACGGTCACTGACTTAATTACTGAATGTGTTTGTGCATCAGTACCCTTTTTAAAAAATACAAAACTTTGACAGAGCAGTTACTTTGTAGACGTTAGCGCTGTGAGGCACAGCCTCTGGGTTAGTCCATCCTTAACTCGGTCTCTTTTTAGCCCCATAATGGCTGCTGTGGTTTAGCTTTGGTGGGCTCAGACGGCCTGCTCTCCTCTGTCTGTGGTTTTTCGGGGAAAAGAGCCATTGACTCTATTTAATTTAAATCCTGAAATAGATCAGGAGGCCAGGCTTGTAGAAAACCGATCCTCCTCACTGAAGCTGCTCTTTTTTTACAAAATGGCCGAGTTCATTCACTCGGCTCGAGTCTTATCGGCTGAGATTGGAGCGATATCTTGTTGCTATTGATGTATTATAAACCCTGAGTAGTGTGAATCCCACAATCGGTTGACAAAGAAGGGAGCAACCTCCTGACATTTGATTGATTTGGTCTCTGACCCATCAGGTGTTTGCTTCTAAAGGTCAGTCAGAAGTGTTTGATTTCTGTGGTGCTCCTGGGAAGAACACCTCTGATGTCTGTGGCGCTTGTTATCTCTCATCTCCTTATCTTAGATTTTAGATATAGGATCACTTTTGCCCTTCCTGAATGGTTCGTTTTCTTTTTTTACAGTTTCACTCAAAGTAAATCCCTGAGGCCACGAGCCGTCTTCGGGCAGATGGCAGACTTCTTTGTTGTACTTGCCGCTCACTCTCGCAGATTGCATGGCAGTAGATTCAGAATGCCAATTCAAGCAACAGTTGTGCAATATCGGGTTTGGCTTTTGCATGAGCCGCAGACTTACGGGGAAAGTCATTACACGGGTTTTGTTAAACCGGTTTCATAGTTAAGTTGTATTCATTCACAGAGAGTCCCAATCAAAACACAAAATCCAAGGCCTCTGGTTCTTTAAGTCGTAGCGTGAGAATTGTTGTTGACGAATGCATGAGAGGGGGGTAGCTCTTTAGCAGCAAATTGTAGTATTTTAGAGAAAGCTCTGAGAATAATGCTCCAGCATAGCTGTGTAATGTGGCCTCGAGTGATTCCAGGATTAATTGGAACCAGGTTCTGCTAATGAAACGGGCTCAGTGTACCTGCCAGAGGGCTGCTCCTCTTTTCACAAAGTCTGTTTTTGGGAGCCGAGTTTGTTCAGTGTTCTGCAGGCTGCACATACAGCAGCTGATATGTGCACCAGTCTGAGGCCAAAGAGATATAACTTTCACACATTGAACCAAGACTGCGTGAACACACGAGGACTTGTCGGACACAGACTCGCTCTTCCAGACCAGACAGGGCTCGCTTCTTCTGGATTTTCTCGGGGTCTCTGGTGGGATCAGGCTTGAGACGCAGCTGTTGTGACCAGCTGGGTCGGCCATGAAAAGGGAGAGGGGGGCCACGGCCAGAGACGTGTGTGTGTGTGTGTGTGTGTGTGTGTGTGTGTGTGTGTGTGTGTGTGTTCATGAAGCTGTAGGGGTGTATTAGTTGGGTACTGGTGCAAGGGGAAAGGTAGTGAGTGAAGACGGCAGGGGGGTGGGGAGGTGGTGCTGCTGGGAAAAGTGAAAGGGATAAGAGAGTACAGCTAGCGGGCAGAGTTGAACAGCTGTCGGGTCAGTCACTCTGCAGCACTGACCTCCGTGTCACCCAGCTATACGACCCTATTTCCTTATTGTTCTTTCTATTGCAGATAGACACCAACATGTCTGTCTTCCTGCTTCTAGCCCTCCGCCTCTTCTTCAAAGGTTCAAAAGACATTTTCTCATATCTCTTTGTAGATTTGTGTTGTTTCAACAAGCCTAACCAGGTTTTCTGGATTATCGGTCCGTATGAGAGACTGGTCCCTGTTGGTGCCAGGCGGGCTGTGGCCGTACCCCCGACTCGGAGACATGTGCCTGGCCCCTGTCTCACTTCCGCTCCACTCCTGCCGTCTGGCCTGCCCTGATCTGGTGAGGGAGAGAGAGGCATCTGCTGCCTTTTATGGCAAAGACTGGCCTCAGAGAACTTCACCAAGAACAGAAAAGGCTGTGTGTGTATTTGTGTGGGTGTGTGTGTTGCTGCTAAAACAGACTACGTACGTATGAGGGGAGGAGTGCTGGCAGAGAGGAAGTTTTCTTTATCCTAAAATAAACTAATGGCTCCAGAATTTCACCTCCCCTTGCCACACAAATGTTCGCAAGAGGTGGAGGAGGTGTGTGATGGAAAATGATGAAATTGCTGAGGGAAAGAGGCAGGAAACGGCTCAGTGAAACAAAATGTTTTCAAAAAGAGGAGGAGGGGGGGTAGAAGAACTGATTTGAACCTTTTTTCTCTGAAGGGCTTAGCAGAGCTGACGGTATCTGTGGATGAAGCTCCATCCCCGAGTAAAGCTCTTTCACATGATGGAACATGTAGCTCACAGCGCAAAACCAAACCGACCACATGAATGTGTCTGTGCCCTCATGAGCAGGAAGAGGCTTTTTGTCTGTTGTAAAGGGGGAGAAGGAAGCAGATGGAGATAAGGAGAAGTGAAAGCAATGATACAAACTTTAATTTTTAAAAGGAAACTTTAATTCAAATTTGAGTGAGAGTAGAGGTCATGGCGTGAGGAAATGGGAAGCTGATGGTACAGGATAATAGTTGGGAACGGAAAGATGAAAGGAAAGGGCAGAAAGAGATGAAAAGAAAGGACAAGGCTAGAACTACGAGTCCTGAAGCATTTGAGCCTGAACAATAGGCCGTTTGGACTGGTGAGCCTGCAGCCATGAAGAGGAAAGGGCACCTACAGGCCTAAAAGAAGAAAAATAAATAGATAAAGAAGAGGTGCAAGACCGAAGGAAAGAGCAGCGCAAGCGGAGAAAAGAGGTGAAACAGAAAGTGGCCGCTCATTAATAATTAGCCGGCAGTGTATACACTTGGTGTCCTTTGGTTTTAAATGAGGACAAAACGTGCTCAGGAGCTGCGTGATGAGAAGATCCGAATACCTTGATGAATCATTACCCGACAAATGAGAACCCGAGCAGTGTTGGTCCTTCAGATCGCAACGTTTTCACAGGAGGCCCGTAGGCAGCTTACCGCCAAGAATATCTCCTGACAGCTAAATTAGACAACAGCGCGCATATAAAGGAGGCTTAATCATTGACAAAGTCAACGGCTTGCGTGCTCTTAATGCATCCACATGTTGACATGCCTTCCCTTGTTTGCTGAGGTGGAAAACCGGGCGACGCTTCCTGGAGAGGGGAATTAAGCGGAGGTTTGAACACTGTGCTTTGGCAAAGAGGCCTTGTCCTCCACAGCTCTGTCATGTTTTGTAAGTGTTTATTAGTTCCCATGGATATCAGCTGGGCCTGTGTCGATCTACCTCCTCTCCTCATTCCTTTCTCCCCCTTCTGTTCTCTGTCCCGTCTTAATCTATTTCTAATGTGTCTGGCTGAATGTGCACCAGTCTTTGCTTCTTTGCAGGAAGGTCTGGTGATAGTCGCAGCAGAGCCCGATTGAAGGCGAGAAGGCTTTTGCCTGTGTTTTGTGATCCCTCTTCATTAGTGCCGTTAGAACAGCTCTCGTCAGTCGGAGTCTTCTGGGAGTGTGACCGGGAAGGAAGTGGGGGGGAAAAGTGAGAGCCAGGGACACGTTTCTCGACCATTGTGTTTCGACGGAGGATATGCAGAGAGGAGGGATGAGAACTAGAGGTTGGGGGGGAGGGGGGGATCGCAAGATGGGCGGAAATGAGTGTCGACAAAAGCACAATGAATTCAGGGAGCAAACTGAAACTCCCTCGTCCTTAAGCAAACCCAAACAGCTGTAGCAGAGCCGAGACGGAGCAAAAATAAACAGAAATAGAGTCATCAAAGAATGAGGAGAGCGAATAATGGAGGAGGATTATTAGGCCGGTGATAGTCCCAGATTGTCCCAGACAACTGTGCCTCTGTTTATTTGTCTCACTTATGTGTCGAGGCTTTTCAACCTTTAACCCTAGATTGCACTGCCTGATGCAGACAGCGGGCGGGGGGGGGGGGGGGGCGGGGGGGGGGGGGGGGGGGGGGGGGGACCTGGGAGGAGGAGAGGTTACGGCCCTGGAAGTGCAGGAGGAGTGTGATATGACATCCCTGTGCTAGAACTGGCAGTGGAAGTACAAGGCGCTGGGGACGGACATCTGTGTGGAAGCTATAGACCTCACATCAGGTCAGAGGTCAGAGTTAGGGGTCAGGTACAGCGACCGAGCCCCCTTTGTTTGCTCACTCCGGTCGGCTGCAAGTCAGTTTTGTGAAAGTCACAGAAAGTTTTGTTTACTTGTTTCTGAGATTCAGTTGTCAAAGCTTTATAGATCTCTGTGCCTGAGCTTATGCTGTTGTATCTATGCAACGTTGTGTCTTCATCTTTTATTGCCTGTATGCAGCTCCTTAACCTCTCCCTTTTTTTTTTCATTCCTCTGCAGGAAGTCGAAGGCGAAGCCAAATGGAAAGAAGCCTCCGACAGAAGAGAAGAAGCAGTACCTGGAGCTGGAGTACACAAAGATCCGTGTGGTGGATTTTGACCTGAAAGAGCTGGTGGTGCTGCCCAGAGAGATAGACCTCAACGAATGGCTCGCCAGCAACAGTGAGTAACTCCAGTGGTAGTCAGTGATGGAAGGAATATATAGTCATGGTACGCAGAGGAGCTCAAACAGTCACACGCATAGTTGAGGATGAACAGAAACCACTGTTGTAGTTACTAAGCCTGTAAGCAATTCAACACGGTCACTCTTAAAATATGAACATTTCTTTCATATGAAATATATATACTTTAACGGAGCCAAGCCGCTGACATGATCCAGGCCTCGCACAGCGTTCAGCCTGTTCTCAGTAGCACGCCGCTTCTTTAAACACCGTTGTTTACTGCGGCCTCAGTGCAGCGTTTGAACTCTTTCAATGTATCGTTTTGTAAACTCACTGTGGTCCGGCTGCTTCATCGATCTTTCAGAGATCCTTTTTTTTTTTTTTTTCCCCGACTTTGTTTTGGTTACGTATCCGACCCAGGCGCGGAAAAGGAAAACACACATTCTTTCCTTTTTTTATTTTCGACGGATAAAACGTTGTTATAGAAAACAGATGGGGCATGTCTTCGCAGGTTAATGCGTTGAAGTTGGAAGTTATGTAAGTTTGAACACAAACTAAAGGTCTGAGCAGTGTTTTGATTAAATAATAAATCGATAATCACTGGAACCATTTGACTTGTCATCCATAGGATAACACACACACACAGTCCTCTTTTATGTTCTGGCAGTATTTTAGTTATTATAAGTATTTGGGTGTCCTCTCTTTGATGTGTTCCTGTGTAACACGTGTCAAACATTGATTAACAGACTCTGAAATCCTTCTTGTCTTCTTTGCCACAGCGACGACTTTCTTCAATCTTATCAACCTGCAGTACAGCACCATCTCAGAGTTCTGCACTGGGGACACCTGTCAAGCCATGACGGCCTGCAACACGTAAGTTATCTCCACCGTCTTCTGATTTATTCATCACTCACCTGCCCAGACCCAGTGGTTTATTCATCACAAACTGGTTAATTCATCAAGGGACGCTTCTCCGGTCAGCGAGGGACGACTCGCAACCCGCTCAGGTTGATTTAGGTCTTTTGACTCGCCACATAGACCATCTTGGAATGTGCAGTATGCAACTTCAATGTACTGCAGCAAGCTGTTTATTTACATTGAGTACCGCACCTTTGTGTCTGAGCTGAATCACTGCATACTCAAAGGATTGACTAACATTGTTTCACGTCTTTAAACTGTATACTACCATGCGGCTTCAGCAGTCTGAGTTAGATAAATCCAGTCGGTCTTTTAAATACCTAATCCCCTAATTTTAGTAAAACTCACTTTTTATTATTTGTCGAGTTTTCAGGTTTATTGCGACTGTGTGCAGTGAAGTAGGGCATACCTCTGGAGTAGTAGTTGTAACATGGAGACCTGTTCATGCCATGTTAGCAGAAGGGGAGGTGACGGACTGTAAGCATCTATCGAACTAGTTTGTCCTGTCAGGGCGGGGTGTTGTCTCTAAAACCTGACTAGCCACACTTTGAGAACCCACGAGACTCACTACGCAGCGCTTAACTAATTACAAGTGCACGTGCTCACCCTGGTTTAAAAAAATACGAGGGTGACAAACAACACAACCATTGAGAAGTGACACACATGACAGTTGCTGTGAGAGACGATCTTGTCACGAGTTCACCTCCCAGTCGACAGTGGAGTTTTCCACTGCTGCCACCTGAAGCTATGGCTGCTAACCCCCACAGCCTGAGGAACAACAGAAGTCAATGTGCTTCGCCTGCGGTATACGAGTAGTTGAGAGAGTAGTTTGGATTAACATGTTGTATGTCTATCGACCTGTGTTTCTAAGAAGAAGCCCACCATTTAGGATTGTACCTTCCCGACTGCCCGGCACCCCACCCTTTCCTGCCCAGGCAGGACTTGGCCCCCCCCCCCCCCCCCCACTCCTCTGTGGTGAAAAGTGACTGAGCCACAGTCACAGCAGCGTCAGTACCCCTGCCCGAAGGCAGAGCTCAGCACTATTTTTGGAAGAAAATGTTTCCATGAGCTATGAGGGAACGGAACCATTTGGTAGCTATTTAGACGCATTTTGAGTGCGTGTGTGTGTGTGTGTGTGTGTGTGTGTGTGTGTGTGTCCGTGCACGAGTGTGTTAGTGTTCTCACTCTTTTCTTTAAGCGTTGCGCTCTTATAGCCGGGTCCATTTTGGATTCGGTTTGATTTCCTATTTTTAAGAGTGTGCAACACATTCAGTCATTTAGCTCATTTGCAAACATTGAATCTGTCGAGCTGAACTTTCGTCCTTGGAGAGTCGGTCAATCTTAAAGTTCTATTTATTGTTTCATTGCTTTTATTACGTCCTTCAAACATACGTACTCTGCAGGTGCGACCGGATATCATAAAGCCACAGATCAACGTATATACAGTTTGTCCCCACATTGTAGAGTGTGCCACCGTTCACACCATGGTGACATTTACCTATAACCTCCAAAATAATATATAAAAACAATATCTTGGATATTAAGACATATAGAATTAATGAATAAAAATAATACATGAAAACAGGTAAAAAACAGTCCCATAAGACTGCTATGAACCCAATTCATTCCATTGCAAAACAATTGTGACAAACGGGTAACAAAATCTATTTAAAAACGTAAATTACTTTTTTTTTTTTTTTTTTAATAAAAAGTTGCATGAATTGGAAAAAAAATTTGTTTATTGTAAGAGTCCCGGTGCTGTGGTCAGTACATCTCCTGCAGGGTCAGTTATGTGGACGCTTTACATTCCTTGAGGAAGTGTAATCTCTGGTCCACTGCCTCCCAGACCCACACTGCTAACAGCAACACCTGCACGCACATTTGTTTTTCATAACTCTTCACTTTATTAATTGACCCTTCCAGCTCGTTGGTCCATCAGGCCTTTTTGTCTTTGTGGTTCACAGTTCTGTTTTACTTATGGTTAGCTCATTCGTCTATTTCTAAGGTGCTTGCATCACTAGCTCTGTGCTGGTGACCTACTGTTAACGAAAACTCAGATCCGCCCCAATTCATCCATCTGGGTAGTGTAACTGGACCACATCCTCATTCCGAGCAGTGCCATCCAGAATGTGAGATGTTACTGGGAGTTTGTTTTTTCCCTAAATGACGAAATAGGACCAGGTTATATCTCACAGCTCACCTGTGTGTCATTTCTCTTCCTGCTTGAATGAATCATTTGTGTACCAGGAAATACTCCTTCTTGTGTCTGAGCATCTCCTACTGTAAGCATTCTTCAGAAAACTTTAACTATGATGAATTAATACTCGGCTCACAGTTACGTAGTGGTGTCCTGCACCTCATTGATCGCGTCTTAAATGCTGTTTTGAAAGGCGTGTGTGATAACAGTTGTGTTTTCTGTGTCTTTCTCTCTAGAATATACTACTGGTATGACGAGAGGGGGAAGAAGACAAAGTGCACTGCTCCACAATACGTCGACTTTGTAATGAGTCTTTGTCAGAAACTGGTCACAGATGAGGAAATCTTTCCTACGAAATATGGTGAGTGTCCCTCTTCTGGTTTCCTGTCTGCTAGAAGTCACTGATGCTGTGCTGCTGCCCCCTGCTGCTTCAGTTGGAGGGTCTGAATGAGTGGAAATGAGTTTTTGCTATTTGCCATAGCACAAGTTGACATATTGTGATTGTTTGAGCAACCTATCAATGCATCAACTCGTCATATTAGCTTTTGAATTTGTCAAACTTTTAGTGATTATTTTATTATATTTCTTTATTGTTCTATTCTATTGTGCCATAGATCTCTATTGTTGTCAAAAAAAAGTATTAAAAACACAGCAAGGAGCCACACTGAGTAACATTTTAGTAGATATTATAATAAACATGAATAAACGTGTTTGAGCACCAATTGTGTTTTAATCCGCAGCTGGAAATATTCCCCAACAAATTTCCTGATTAAGTAATGTTTGCTAAACGCTTCAATGCAAAGGAAAGTTTTTAGCCTTTAAAAAAATATACATATATATTCGTGACCTTTTTTTTCAGTTTACGTCTTCATTGGGAACAAATCGGCTTATGGCTCAGTGTAGTATTGTACAGAAAGTATTTAGAGAGTAACACATAATTGATTTATTTGTTGATAATGTAAAATAATTCTAGACGGAAACAAGCCTCTCTCATGGTGATTCCTGTGCCTAATCCAGTCTCTCCTGTCTGGTTTTGTTTCCTTCTCTTTCTCTCCCTCCAGGCAAAGAGTTCCCCAACTCCTTTGAGTCCTTGGTGAAGAAGATCTGCCGGTACCTGTTCCACGTGCTGGCTCACCTCTACTGGGCGCACTTTAAAGAGACAGTGGCTCTGGAGCTGCAGGGCCACTTGAACACTCTGTATGCACATTTCATCGTTTTCGTAAGGGAATTCAACCTGGTTGACCCCAAGGAGACCTGTATCATGGACGACCTGTCCGAAGTTCTCTGCACCCCCGCCCCGCCCCCTGCACCCACCCCTGCCCCCTCCGCTCCGGCCTCGGCGCCCTCCCCGTCTTCACAAAACCACGTGACGGAGAGATGAGCGGGGGGCGGCGGTGAGACAGCAGCCCCGGGGGTGATTGAAGATAAGATAGAGGAGAGAAGGAAAGACAGCCTGGCCCCCTTCCTTGGTGCCAGCAGGACTTAAAGACCTTCCACTACCCTTATATTTCGCTATGACACCAACCAACCAACCAGCCGGAAGGAAGGAAGGGGGGGGAGGGGTTTTGAGGAGTTTGGGGTAGCGGGGAGGGGTTTGTCACGCCAGCAGGAATTGGCGTGAGCATTCCTCCCAGGGGCAAATCCCTCCCATCTTCTCTGCAATTTAAACTAGGAACAAAAAATTATGTGTATGTTTTATTTTTGGTTTTATTTCACTTTTTTATTTTTTTTTGTTGAAGTTTTATTCGGTTTTATTTTTTGTTGTGGGGCGGGGTGCAGCGTGGCCCTTCACCTCCCTGTATCCTCGACCTACCGTACAGTACAGGAAGGGGTTTCTGCTTTGCTTCAACCTGCTAGTGTACAGCGTTGTTAATGTGAGGAGAAGAGGTGTTTCTCCTCACCTGCAGGCTCCTCCCTCCCTCCTCCTGCAGCCAATACGCTGGCCAGTAGGGAGCCACGTTACTGCCTGACGGGCCGATACTAGCCAATCACTGTTTGGGTTGTTTATGTGGGGGATGATTGAAGCGCTTCCTACTCAGGACCTAAGAGAATATGTCACTGCTGCCAGAGAGAAGTTAGTCTCTTTCTTTTTTTCATTCTCTGTTCCTTGGTCACCAGACTGCTCAGCCCTTCATATGGCCGATGTTGATCGTGTTTAACTACAGTATAGTCACATCATCGCCTGGTGTACCCCTAACAGACATGTCCCAGAGTCCATCTGTAGAGGGCAGCAACCACAAAGAGAAGGCAACAGAAACAGGGAGATGGAGAAGAAAATGTAAAGATTGTATGATAGATATTTAATCTGATCAGAGAGTCAAGACAGACTGGTGCCGATATGAGGCTGAATCAGAGTTGCGTGCTGGTGCTCAGCATAGCAGCAGCCACTTGAACCACCACCGACACCCACTTCAGCAGCACAGAAGGACAAAGACATGAGGTAATGTCTGCAGGCCCAGATGGAGACAGAGTGAGGGGTGGGAGTAGATGATGTGGAGCTGCTCTGCTGTGTAACAGTCGGCTGTACTCCCAGTGCAGAACTCAAATTCTCCACTCCCGGTTTATTATTTTTTACCTGTCCCGTTTCAAATTTGCTTTTTTTAAAAGATTATCAGAGGAAAACTAGTTCAGAAATAACAACAATAATGGTATCATTACACATGTATAGAAAATGCACAGTCTGCTTGGACTTTACTGTACAAAGAATCGCAAGCGGGTTCTCTCAGACATAGCCTTTGTATGGAGGAGGATTGGGTTTATAATTCTCCTTTTTTATTTATTTAATTTTTTTTCTTTTTTTTGTGCAGGGTTCTTCAGTTCTGGCTCTCGTTTTTATGTATTTTAATTATTAACTAAGTTAAAAGCAATTTAATATTTTAAGCTCTGCGGATTATAATCTAATAAAAGAGAGAAATGCCACTTTGTCTCAGAGTCTTTTGTATTTATGTGTTTGTGAAAATGATGCAAAAGGGAAGAAACATGAGCGTGTTGTGTGCAGCTTCATAAAAAGAGGACTTGACTGAATCCTCCCATAGTTTACTCGGGTTTACCCGAGGTAGAACTAAACAGGACCATGTTCTTTCATCATTTTGATGATGATGTTGTCACCAAACTATTTTATACAGGAAAATACAACAAAAAGTGATTGAAATTGCTATGGAGCTCAAGATTTCTAAATGTATCTCCTCTTTCAAGTTTTTAACTAGACACTCCAAGCTCCACTAAAACAAACTGTTACCACATAAGACTTTATACAGATTTTTGAAATTCTTTTTAGTTTTGTTTTTCTCATTTCCATACCCGTTTCTGTTTGCTACAACTTATAAGAAGAAAAATTATGAAAATTGAATAAGATGCAAACACCATTCCAACTTTTATATCTTCATTTATATCAAAACTGACTCCATACCAAGACTTCATGTTGGTTTTAGAACCCGCCTCAACACCGTAATGCCCAATCATGTTATCTACATCAGGACAAACTCCTGAAAATATTCATCCTGAAGGGATGTCACATGAATGAATAAATAGTTGTATCACCATAAACACAAAAGAAAAACCAAAATGTAAATTGAATCTCAGATAATTTAAATCACAATTAACACAATAGTGAACAAGGCTTTAAACATTGTCCATTCTTGGTGATAACGGGGAAAGACAAACTGTAGCCAAACAGTTTTCACTTTCAAGCTTAATTGTTATAAAATCGGAGACAATCGGAGCAAACGTTCAACTTGAAATGAATGCAACTTAAAATGCTGACTTGATTTAGACTTTTATTCACCCGATCTTTGTTGTCCGGTCTTCTTTGTTGGTTCTGAGAGAAAAGGCATAAGGTGTTTGGGGAGGAGCGGAAAACTGAATGGAGATGAGGACATCAAGGTCATCTACCGTCTGGACACAATCAATAGTCACGTTGATTTCGATTTTTAATAAAATGATTTTATATTTGAATGATTGTGTGTCTGTAATATGTTTTTTTCCCTGGAAACGCTGGAGGAGCAGCTTGAGAGCAACAAGGAGGCTTTTTGGAAGCAGCTGATCCAACTACAAGACGAGATGTAAGAGGACCAGAGGATGCTACAAACTCAGGGAAAGGGAATGTCAGTACTGCAAAAGCTGTCTTGATGATTTGTTTATTAAGTATAAGTATGACATAAAAGAGTCCTATAAAATGTCAGAAAATATTACAGTATAGTCTGTTGTATACCATACGATGTTATTAATGATATAGTAAAGTATACCATAATAATGTCATTAAGATATCAAAGCATAATTTGGCACATAATATAAACAATAGTAGTATAGTATGCCATAAAAGAGTCATACAAATATTACAGTATAGTATGCCGTTATATAGTATTTCAATATAGTAGGTCAATGTATAATTTGCCAAGTCAGAGTATAGTATTTAATAAATACATGTTAAGTATAATAGGCTATAAAAATGTCATAAAACATGTAGTGTATTATGCCAAAAAAAAATACATCACAAAAAAGTTTTCAACTAGTATGCCTTTACCTGTCATAAACAACTTATAGTGTAGTATGTTATAAAGTCAAAATGTAGAACTGCCAAATAAAAGCATAATCTAGTACGTCAAAAAAGTCGGAGTATAATTAACATAAATATTAGTATGCCATAAAAATGTCATTTAAAAAGTCATAGTACAGTATGACATAAAAATGCAATAGTATAGTATACCGTGAAAATAATTCATGTTATAGAAGTCTGTCATGACGTTTAATAACAATGTCTCAGGTTTCTCTGAAGTTTCTTCCCCAACAGAATCACTGTAAGTGCTACTGGCATTGAGTAATAGAAGTTTGAACACACTGAAGTAGAAGTTTTTTTATTTCCTCCTGAATATTTCTTTGCAAACTGATGCCTGGAGATGACTATAGCTGGGACTTCTTGGCTCGAGTTTACTCGAAAGAAGAGAGGCGGGCACTGTTCAACGCGGACTCTCGTTGGCTATTCTAGGCTTCTGGAGAGGACATAGGTCAAATAAGGTGTCAATCGAAACATCAATGCAGCCGCCATTGTGAGATACAGACAGCGCCTCTGTTTACATGAAAACGGAAGTTACGTTAGGAAATAGATCGCTAGTTAGCATATCTGCCGGCTAATTTCAAATGATGCATCAGCAGTCCGTGTGTATTTATGGACGTAATAATGTGTTTTGGACTAAATATTCTACTGGATTGGATCGTCTGGACCTTTGGCAATGTAACAAGAGCGTTTTTGTCGGACTTTTATGGATGGGGGAAATACTATGAAGCATAATTGGTGAGTTGCGTCGATATTTTACGACGACAGAAGCGTTGAGTGTACCTGCTGTTGTGATTGTATCTTGAAATGGTTTGCATAAATCGAATTACAAGAACCTTAGCTTACATAGCAGTTGTGTACATGACACAGATGTCCACTAAACACGGCCCGTCGGAGTGGTAACAGGTTTGGCAAATGTTTACAGTCAAAGATGGAAACATTTCAAGAAAAAAAAAAAAGGTCACAACAAATATAGCTTATTGTGCAAAACCCCGTTCTCTGTGACGTCATAGATTCCATGACATCAAAGCCATAGAATCTATGACGTCACAAAGCTCTCTGTGTTGTCATAGAGTCCATCACATCAAAGCCATAGAATCTATGACGTCACAAAGCTCTCTGTGTTGTCATAGAGTCCATCACATCAAAGCCTGCCTTCAAAAGATTCTGACTTCTCCAGCTCACATCTCAGTCGCACATCTCAGTCGCACATTTCAGTCGCACATTTCGTGATCAGAACAAAATATTAAAGATGGGATCCCACAGTTTCTGGCCATATGAACTCAATAGTTTGCTGGAGTGTATTGCAAGAGCTACACTCCTCTCAAAACCTGGGGATATCACAGCCTTTATTTTAAATTATTTGCTTCATATGAACAGTTTCACTAAATCTGAAGCTGAAGATACCAAGGTTGATATTTTCAGCTTCCAAGAGATGTGGGAGAATAAGTTCCTGAAAACTGAAGAGTCTCCACTCACCACCATGAGGCGAAGCAAAGTGAGGCTTCAACCTCTTCTAAAAGTGGGCACAAATAGTGAAAGAGGGCCTCCACAAAAGCCACAGCCCTCTATTAAAAGATCCATCCAGGACAAACCAAAGTGGCAAGACTCATCACCTCCGAGGCCTAGCAGAGGGAGGTTTCAACCTCTTCTAAAAGTGGGCACAAATAGTGAAAGAGGGCCTCCACAAAAGCCACAGCCCTCTATTAAAAGACCCATCCAGGACAAACCAAAGTGGCAAGACACATCACCTCTGAGGCCTAGCAGAGGGAGGTTTCAACCTCTTCTAAAAGTGGGCACAAATAGTGAAAGAGGGCCTCCACAAAAGCAACAGCCCTCTATTAAAAGATCCATCCAGGACAAACCAAAGTGGCGAGACCCATCACCTCCGAGGCCTAGCAGAGGGAGGTTTCCACCTCTGGTAAAAGAGGGCACAAAAAACCAGACATGCCCTCAATCAGTGTGCCCTCAATCAGTGTGCCCTCAATCAGTGTGCCCTCAATCAGTGTGCCCTCAATCAGTGTGCCCTCCTTCAACAATAGTTAGCATTGTTAGACGCATCAGAGTCCAGATGTCATGCACAGACCCATCACCCGAGAGGGTCGGAGTGAGGTTTCCACCTCTGGTAAAAGAGGGCACAAATAACCAAACATGCCCTCAATCAGTGTGGCCACAATTAACGAGTGTTAGAATTGTGAGATACACCAGAGTCCAGACAGCTTTATGTCCTGAGTGAGTCAGACAGAGCTTTATGTCCTGAGTGAGTCAGACAGTTTTATGTCCTGAGTGAGTCAGACAGAGTTTTATGTCCTGAGTGAGTCATACGTATGTATATTTGTATATGTATACGTATGTATTTGTGTATATGTATATATACGTATACGTGTGTATGTATACGTATATGTATGTATACGTATGCGTATGTATGTGTATACATGTATACGTATACGTGTGTATACGTATATGTGTATATGCGTATACGTGTGTATATGCGTATGTATATGTATATATGTATACTTGTGTATATGTGTATACATGTGTATATGTGTCTACGTATGTATATATGTATATGTATATGTGGCACAATAAGTCATATGAGTTCATGAAGTACAATAGTTGCTTGGGTGTTGTGTAACTTAAGTGAGTTTATTATGTTTCCTATGTGTTAATGAGGAGGAAGTGTGCATTTTAGTTAGTGGGGTACAGTGTTATTTATCGCCAGTAGGTGTCAGTGTTGCGACATCAGCAGTGTCTGTGACAGAGAGCCAGAGGGAAGTCTCGCGTGAATATGCGAGAATATGAGATTCTCTGAAAAGCATAGCACGTATGTGTATACATAACACACAAACACAGCCAAGGAAACTCTCAACTGGTTTCAGAGAAATCAAATAAAGCTGCTAGAATGGCCCAGACGATCAGCTGACTTGAATCCAATAGAAAATCGATGAAAGAACTAAAGATCAGAGTTCATATGTATACTCGATTGATCCGCGGTTCACGAGTGATCTGAACCGCGAGGGGTCATCCGAACGGATCGATCCGTGACACCACTAGTGTACAGTATATGTATATACGTGTACCTACGTACGCGTCCATCCATCCATTATCCAAACCGCTTATCCTGTTCAGGGTCGCGGGGCGCTGGAGCCGATCCCAGCTGACATTGGGTGAAGGCAGGGTACACCCTGGACAGGTCGCCAGTTCATCGCAGGGCACATATAGAGACAGACAAACATTCACGGTCACATTCACACCTATGGGCAATTTCGAGTCTCCAAATAACCTAAGCTGCATGTCTTTGGACTGTGGGAGGAAGCCGGAGAACCCGGAGGGAACCCACGCTGCAACGGGGAGAACGTGCAAACTGCACACAGAATGACCATCCGGGATCGGGGAACAAACCCGGGTCCCTCTTGCTGTGAGGTGACAGTGCTAGCCACTACACCACCATGCAGCCTGTGTGTATGTGTCTACGTATATATATATATATATATATATATATATATATATATATATATATATGTATACGCGTGTATACGTGTGTATGTATACGTATGTGTATACATATACGTATGTGTATACATATATGTATGTATATGTGTATATGTATACGTATGTATATTTGTATATCTATACGTATGTATAAGTATGTATATGTGTATATGTATAAGTATGTATATG